AGACAATATTTTGTTTTCCCAAGATCTTTCATTTCAAATTCACTTTTTAGATACTCAGCAGTTTTATTTAGATCTTCAAGGGTTCCAACTAAGTTCATATCATCAACATATACTGCCACTATAGCGAAACCAATATTTGATTTCTTAATGAACACATAAGGGCAGATGACATTGTTGGCATATCCTTCTTTGATCAAATACTCACTGAGACGATTATACCACATTCGCCCAGATTGTTTTAGCCTATATAATAATCGCCTTAATTTGATTGAGAACATACCTCGTGGTTTGTTAGTCGTATCATGCAACTTAAGTCCTTCTGAGACTTTTATATATATGTCAGTATCTAATTCTCCATATAGATACGCAGTGATGACATCCATAAGTCGCATGTCAAGTTTCTTTGAAACCACTAAACTTATTAAGTAACGGAACGTAATTGCGTCCATTACAGGAGAGTATGTCTCTTCATAATCAATTCCAAATCTTTGTGAAAAACCTTGTGCAACAAGTCTTGCTTTATATCTTGCAATCTCGTTTTTCTCGTTGCGTTTCCTTGTGAATACCCATTTGTAACCTACGGGGTTCACACCAGGCGGGGTTTGGACTATTGGTCCAAAAACACTTTGCCTTTCCAAGGAAATTAATTCTGCCTGGATTGCATCTTTCCACTTAGGTCAATTATGTCTCTGTTTGCATTTATCAACAGAGTGAGGCTCAATGTCATCGCTTAATATGATTTCAGTGGCTACTGCGAAAGCGAATATATCGTCGATGATTATTTCATTTCAATCCCACAATTCATTAGTACATGCATAATTTATGGAGATTTCTTTGCTTTCATATACTTCTGTCTCTTCAGGGACATGTGTCTCATCAAGAACATTTTCTTTTTCAGAAAATTTAGAATCATGAATTGTGGATGTATCATTCTCTTTCTTTTCCTGAATGATTTCATTTAGATTCAATTGTGTCCTCATCTTTCTCTTTCGAGGGGCTGAATCTTTTGAACCTGGTGGTCTACCACGCTTTAGGTGTGCACCAGATGAATTATTTACTATCACTTTATTTTGTCCAACAGGAACATTAATTCTTACAGGTGCATTTGTAGCTAGTATATGTGACTTTGTCACTTTCGAAGCATCATTAATTGCATCTGACATTTGATTAGCAATACTTTGAAGATGAACAATCATTTTCACTTCATCTTTACGTTGAGTGCTTCGTGGATCAAAATGAGATAGGGTGGGAACAACCCATGTCAGCTCTTGCCGTTCTTCTGGAACAGTCTTTTCTCTCTTTAACGACGGGAAGACTGTCTCATCAAAGTGACAATCAGCAAAACGAGCTGTAAACATATCACCTATTAAGGGTTCCAAATATCTAATGATAGACGGTGAATCAAAACCCACATAAATTCTCAGTCTGTGCTGAGGTCCCATTTTAGTGCGTTGTGGCGATGCAATATGCACATAAACAGTACAACCAAAAAATCGTAAATGTGAAATGTTTGGCTGATGCCCAAACACAAGTTGTATTGATGAGTTTTGGTGGTTGGCTATGGGCCTCAACCGAACCAATGATGCAACATGTAAGATGGTATGTCCCCATGCAGAGACTGACAATTTTATTTTCATGAGTAGAGTGCGAGCTATTAATTGAATCCTTTTGATAAATGCCTCTGCTAAGCCATTTTGAGTATGGACATGAGGAACAGAGTGTTCAACATCAATGCTCAGTGTCATGCAGTAATCATCAAAGGTTTGAGACGTAAATTCACCAGTATTATCAAGTCGGATTGACTTAATGGGATGATCAGGGAATTGTGCTCGCAACTTAATTATCTGAGCAAGAAGTCTTGCAAACACTACATTTCGAGTAGACAACAGGCAAACATGTGACCATTAGGTAGATGCATCAACCAAAACCAAAAAATATCGAAATGGTCCACAAGGTGGTTGAATAGGCCCACAGATATCCCCTTGAATTCTTTACAAAAATGATGGGGATTCAGCATCAACCTTTAGTTGTGATGGTCTAATTACCAACTTCCCTTGGGAACAAGCCTTGCAAGGGTTATCATTTGAGATAATAATGTGTTTGCTCAATAATGGATGTCCATTAGAGTTGGTAATGATCCTACGTATCATGGTGGATCCTGGATGACCCAGACGGTCATGCCAAAGCATATAAACTTTTGAATCAATGAACTTCTGGTTCATGACAGTATATGCCTCAATTGTCTTTATGTATGTATAATACAATCCACTCGATAAACCATGCAACTTCTCCAATATACGCTTCGGGGTATCATTGGAAGTAATGCATAGATATTCCACATTTTCTGCACTTTTCATTTCAATCTGGTATCCATTTAGATGTATGTCTTTAAAACTCAACACATTTCGAGTGGATTGAGTAGCGTACAACGCATTTTGTATGAACAATATTGTTCCATTTGGCAACATGATATGGGCTTTTCTTTAGCCTTCAATTACATCTGATTGCCCTGATATTGTTGTTACTTTTACTTTTGCAAGTATCAAGTTCGAGAAATAGTTTCGATCTCGAATTATTGTATGCGTGGTTGAGCTGTCTGCAAGACAAAAATCTCCACCATTGTTCTTGTTTTGAGAACAACCATAATTTTTATCCATGCTCTATGAGTAATGGAAATTACAGTTAAAAGCAGTTTATTCATACTGGAATAAAATGCAAGCATTAAATCACAAGTACAAATAACAAGAGTACATCAACATAAATGATTTAATCGGACCCAAACACTTTATTCCCTCTTTCAATAATGAAGTCTGAAACATCTAGGTGGGTTATGTGCAATTGTCTTGATAAATCGAACACTGGATCAGGTGTATCCATCGATTTAGCTTGGTTGAGAAAATTGGTCTCGACACCCTTCTCCTTGAGGGAGGCTTGATACAGATCCACCAGATGTTTTAGCGTACGACAGGTATGTGCCTAATGCCCATTGCCACCACACCTATGGCAAACTCATTCATGATTTCTAGGAGTGTTCATATGAGCTTTGCCTTTCTAGCGATTTGCATTTTTAAAGCTTGGGCTTGTATTATGCTTTGGAACTTGGTTGTGAAATTAGACACCATGGTTCTTGCCTTTTCGGCCTCGCTTGTGGCCACGTCCTCGTGTGTAATTATTGCCATGAAAGGATGTGGTATTCCCTTCAAGGGAAGTTGCATTCACTTCTGGGAATGGTGCTGATCCAGTAGGCCATGACTGATGATTCTTCATTAGAAGCTCATTGTTTTGCTCAGCTACAAGGAGCACAGATATCAACTGGTTGTACTGAGTAAAGCCTCGCTCTCTATACTGCTGCTGCAGGAGCACGTTGGAGGCATGAAAAGTGCTGAAAGTCTTTTACAACATGTCTTCCTCAGTAATGGTTTCTCCACAGAGTTTCAACTGGGAGGTGATTCTGAACATAGCAGAATTGTACTCAGCCATCATCTTAAAATCTTGGATCCTTGGGTGAGCCCACTTATAACGAGCGCTCAGAAGAATCACCGTTTTTTGGTGATTGTATCTATTTTTCAGTGCCTTCCAGAGGGTTAATGGATCTTTAACTATGAGGTACTTGCTCTTCAGTCCCTCATCAAGGTGACGACAGATAAAGATTATGGCATTCGCTCGATCTTGAGAAGATGCACTGTTATCCTCTTTAATAGTTTCTCAAAGATTCGCTGCCTCTAGATGAATCTTAGCATCCATTACCTAAGTAAGGTAATTCTTCCCAGTAATATTCAGGACAACAAAATCAAGCTTTGCCAAGTTTTCCATTTTCTTTTCTGAAAGAAAAATGAGGTGTGTAAGAACTTGCAATAATATGTATTCTGGAGGAACATATTGTTATAACTTCTAGTTCTTACAAATTTTTCATTTTGATCTTTAGGCCAAAATGATGAGCACTCGAAACTTCAGGCTCGAGATTTACATAATGAATGAGAAGGGCGATTGTACCGCACCATTCTCATCGAAATAATATAGGATGGACGATTATTTCGCACCACTCAAGTAACAGAAAAATTAAATATGCAGATCAGGGTGGGCGATTATACCACATCACCTAAAATTGCAATAAAATTAAATAGCAAGCAAATTTAAACATGTAGGGTAGAGTGGGCGATTATACCGCTCCACCTAAAATTTGTAGTAAAATTGCAGTCCAAGATGGGCGATAATACCGCACCATCTTTGATCACAGCAAAGATAAATAAACATTGAGTTAGAAATTAGGAACTACACCAAACAAGAAATCAAAGATATAAGTAATTGTTAGGTTGAGAACTAAAAGCAAGCATGGTGCGAACAATTCTTCACGAGGGCATACCTAGCAGTTGAGGCAGAGGAAGAAGAAGAACAGTAAAATCCTTAAAGGAAACATTTTTTTTTTCTTTCGGCGAAGAGCAATGAGAAATGTTTTAGGGTTAGAGAGTAGTGCTGATAATGTGTTATAAATAAGCAAAAGTTAGAGAGATAACCTTTGTTAGAGACAGGAGCGAGACTGTAGTAAAATATTATAAAATGATTGCAGATAAGAGAGAAATAGAAGAATACTGAAAATATTCCAGCTTTCTTTCTTTTCTTGTTGTTCTTGTTATTGTTATTGTTGAACACTCATAATGTTCTATTTATAGAGCAATTACAACATTTATAGAGAAATAGGAGGATACTGAAAATATTCTAGCTTTCTTTCTTTTCTTGTTGTTCTTGTTATTGTTCTTATTATATGCATGTGGGCATACATACCCACTATTTACAACATTTTAGTTGTTATATTTAATTTTCGCAACTGTATATTGAATCTTATCCATACAATTTTCAAAACCACTCAGTATATTCAATCTTAACCATCCGGTTTTTTATATTCAATTTTTAAAGAAGACTGCAAAAAAGTAATGAAAAAATAATGCAAAATACTCCATGCAACATTCAAATGTTTGAAATAAATCACATTCACAAGAGTATTTTCCTTTCAATACAACATTCTCAATGACATAATAATAAAAACATATTAACAAGGATACAAGTTTTGGTGTTTCACACTTAAGATAGGTCATTGATGAGTTTAGACCTTCAATTTTAATCATACATAAAGAGAAAAAAAAACAACTGGAACTAGTACTCCATCAAGGATGGAACTCAAAGTTTCAATTTTCATAACCATGACATCACATTAGTGTCTGGTTATGTTAATATATCAGTTGAGTCTCCAGCAGCATGTAGCAGCAGCTCCTGTACAGTGAATGAGGAACAATGCAAATCCGCCTTTGATTGAAAATCATAGGACTTGGTTGGAATTGGAATGTTGTTACCATGGACGACTTGATTTATCGCTTAAAGGAGATGCTTCCAAGAAATTGAAAGAACCCTTCAATTCGTTGCACATTACATGCCTGCTTCAAACGGTATGAGCAGAAAGCAATACAATGCGCCAGCTGCAGCTTCACTGACCTGCAAATACAAAATCAAATTAAGTACTTCAGTGAACATAGAAAACAGCTTATCGGAGAAAGGATAAACATAAGAGCATTTATTTAATCACAGGGACAAAGCCAGAAAGTATTCACTTCATGTTTTCAGATTGATTTCCTCACCTTGTTTCGTGACACAGCCCTGCATTCGGATTCTTCTTGGAGCATCTCCATGTGGGTAGACAGGGAAAGATGTTGGTGGATATTGCGGTTGTGTGTTGTTTGACTTGTAGGATAGAGAGCTGCTCGTCTGAGTAATACATGTAGTTGTGTTGATAGAGGAAGTACCGTCTTCAAATAATGCTTGTGAGAAAAGACATTGTTACTTTATCTGGACTCATCGCGTTCTGAGAAGGGTAGAGTTCCAGATAGCATTTCAACTGCTTGCATTTCCTGGTGTGCCTTTGTACCAACAAAAGTTCACCTAACAAGGTTGAAGTATACAAGACTTGGGGATTCTGTGACACACAACAAAGATTTGGACATAATTGTCCAAAACCAATGCTGTGTCAAAGACTACTTGTGTTGCTTTTCCTGGACATAAGTGTCTGTACCTACGAATAAGTGTCCGAAACTTCTGGTTGCAGAAATATAGATAACTGTGAGTGTTTTTGAATTACCTGTAGAAGAATATCACCGTGTAATAATGTGAGTTGGAGACACATTCTTACAAGGCCCTCTAGATATTCTCCTACAAATAAGAGTACCGTTGTTCATTAACGATATTGGAGTGTTTCTCCAATAGCTAATGCAGAATAATCTAATGCGTATCCGTGGAGTAATTCAGCGTTAGTATAACTGGTTTACTCCACTGCCCTCATCGCACACCCATCCCAATGACTCTCATAGGTTGGAGGCATTCGAAAGAGTGTACGATGCCTCTGTTATTCAAGAACTTTGTGGAGAAGGAGTTGCAATCTCCATAGCTAAAGATTGCAACTCGTTGCATCCAATATAGTTATTGGCATGCAGAAGCTCTCCCGGTTTTGAGAACAATATTGGTGACTGTAATGCGTATTTCTGTAGCTGATCAAACGGCTGAAAGGTTGATCCCCAATTTTCTTCTGCCTGAGAATAAACCTGGATGAAGAATCATGCTTAAGTGTAAAGTTTAGTGTACTTCTGATGCACCATATTAAGTTCATATAATAAAAATTCATTCTCACCTCTGAAATCCATTCGTTTGTAGCATGATTTTTAGAATTATAAGCGATGTTCATAACTGGTTCGTTGTCATAATTGGTTGCAATGTTATTCGTATTAGCAACATAAGAATCATTATCCCCAATTGGAGATGCCCAGTGACTGAATTTGCTACTATGGATGTCCAGAACATTTCCCAGCTGGTGTGGCTGATGTGGCTGAGGTGGCTGAGGTGGCTCGGGAGAAGATAAGGGTGAATCCAATTCTTTTCCTAGCTGAGAACAACACTGCCATATTATAAGATTCACAAAAAAAAAGCCAATTGTTAAATTAGATATACGTCTTGTAATTCGTATGACCAAGTTCACATCAGAATGTTTAAAACGTGTATTCATACTTACGTAAAGAATCATATCATCTACAGCTGGATCATTAAAATCAGATGAAATGCCGCTACCAAGTTCACCACCATCATCATCGCCACTGCCAAGCACAGAACTATCTGGCTGTTTGTGTGCCAGAATTTCTTCAGTGACTGGAATCATATGATTCATGGCAGCAGCTTGGTTATTAGTATTATAGGTGATGCAGCCACCAGTACCAGGATCAAGTAATTCATGACTATAGATACCAGGAGCATTTCCAAGGTGAGATGGTTGATGCAGCTGAGGTGCCTCGGGAGGAGGAAAGGGTGAATCCAGATATCTTCCTAGCAGAGCATATGACTGCCACTGCCAGATTAAGAATCACAAAACAAGCAAGTGTTAAGTTTTGATACACTTATTGTGCCACATATTAACATTTTTACATCAGAAAATGTTCGAAAAAGTTCATTTTTTCTTCATAAAAGATTAGCACATGCCCGTCAAAGGTACAAAGTACTTCTCTTAGTCATGAAGGAGAGAGGACCAACACATCCAGAAACCTCCCTCCGATTCCATGTTTATTAAAACAAAAAAACAATAAAGATAAATACATACAGGGACATAAAACCAAACCTCATGAATCATGGCACTTAGAGCTTGATCAATTAAATCAGATGAGACACTGCCAAGAGGTTCACCATGGTCATGATTTCCATTGCCAAGTAGATCATCTTCTAGCTCTTTATATGCCAAACCTTCTTCTGAATCTGGAGTCATATGAATCATTGCAGCAGCAGAAGTGGTGTGATCATCTCCGGGACTAGAGGCAATGTAGCCACAATTACCGGGATCAGCTAAATCATCACAGACCGATGTACCCTCAGGCTTCTTTTTATCAGACTTAGAATCAACTGGCTTATACTTCAGGAGGCAGAGAACATAGTCCCTCTTCACATCCCTCTCCTGACAGGGACTAGAACCCTGCTTAGGTTTAGAGCAATAGTACTCGTGTATGATCCAGCCAGTCCTAACGGATTTAGACGCCCCACCTTCTTCGAAGGTCTTGCTTTGGAAGGTTAATATCCTCCTTTTGCAAGTGAAGTATTTCGAGCTGATATCCCGCGGCTTGCCTGTGATCTTCCAGAAGCCATGCTCTGTGACTCTGTTGCGGCGAAGACTATTTGTGTATTTGTAATCACACAGGCTGAAGGAGAACCACGCCTTAGCTTGAAAGGGAGAATCAGAGAACATGAGTTCTGCAACACAAAGCAAGATAATGAAAATTTATAAAGACTAAAGATTATTTTGGATTGGATAACTCATTAGATTCCGGGTCCATTTGGTGCCTAGGATTTGATCGAATTGGATTACTCACAATCTTTAAGCTATGTTGATGGGATACATGAAGAAATTTTGTCCACTTTGAAGGTAGAAGATGGATTACTAATAAGGAAACTTATTCCTTCCAATCACTACAAAATTGGCAGGATGTGAAGGAATAAGTTTCCTTCATGTCCAATCGCACCTAATACCATCAGATACCTTGAATGCGATGAGATATCCAACACAATCCAATCCTTCACACTGAACGATCCATCAATGTAAGTTGAAGGAAGAAAAGAATGCAACTTACAAGTTGAAGGTTGAAGACAGATTATTCATCAAGGCAACTTATCCCTCCTAATCCTACCATGGAAGGATTGGAAGGGACAAGTTTCCCCCATGACTAACTGATCTTCTACCTTCAATTGGGCACAAAATATCGGAAACTAACTATATCTTCATTCAAACAATCTAATCCTAGACGCCAAACGAGGTCCTAGTCTTGAACAAATAAAACAAGATTATGCACGGAAGAAAATCATACCGTGAAAAATAATATATACCTGGGTTTTAAAGAAAATGTGAGATAGAATAATGGGTTACCAGGCAATTCCCGAGGCTCGGACTTATAGACATCAATGACAGGGAGGAAGTGGCAGGCTTGGGATTTGTGACTTCTCATCTTCTTCCCCAAGAAGTCTGCCATTTCCTTTTCAGTGGGATGGAATCTGATCGCAGCCATCATGTCCGGCACCGATTGTGCGGTTGTTGTTTTGGTGGTGGTGGTGCTGTTTCCCATCCCTCCTCCTTCTCCTTCAAATGTTTTATACATTTTTTTTTTTTGGTGAAGAAATGTTTTATAAAATTGTGAACAAGAAAACCAGATGATTTTGTCTTCAGAAAACAAGGCAGAAGAAGTAGAGCAAGTGAAGTTGTATATAAAGGTAAAGTCAGTGCCACTGTGCTCCTTGTCTTCCAAGGACTCAAGTCCCGATTCTTGAGCTGCCAGCCAAACCAAGTTTTCTTGATGGTGAAGGAAATGGCTTTGACTATGGACCCCACCCCATCCCCCACCCTCCAACACCCACTTCCAATTGTTTTTTTTAGTTTACGGACTAATGTTGGGAGACTAAATTTTAAAAATTAAAGTTGTAAACTAAATGATATGTAGTTGTTAGTGGTTAGATTATTACTTAAACATTGATGAACATACTTATTTGTTGTTAGTGACACATTATTTTGTTTGCAAATTTAATTTAAAATTTTGATCCTGAGCTTTGTTTGTTCCGTCAACGTGTTAGTTAAGTTTGGGAATATTATAACTCTTATCAGCCCCTCTCGAAAGGTTGAGCTTTATTAACCTTCCCCAATATTTTTTGGAGGGAAACATACAATCAGGAGAAGTCTAGAACTTTCTAGACTCTGAAACGTGGGAGCTTTGCTCACAAGTCACAAGAAATAATTATTTAGAGTAGAGTGACAAGAATGTAGTTCTAACTGTCAAAACCGGATAATGACCAAAGTGAAGGGGTGTGGGACCAAAGAGTTAGTATTCGTCCGTACGAGGGATCGACGAATTTCTTAGCAAACTAGCCCTCATGCAAGCACTCAAGCATATACAGAAGATATTTTTGAATTACAGCGTGCTATGCTCGACTTACATGTTGTAAATGTATTTATATGCGTTAATTGTTTCAATATTTTTTTTATGACAAAAAGAAAGTCAAATATTTGAAGTAAATGAATAATATTCGAACATGCTAGAAGAAACCCCTCAAAAACCAATCAAAGCAGCTAAATCCACATAATAAAATCAGTCTTTCAATATCTATCTACATTATATTGAATTTACATTAAGAATAGATAAAATAATATTTAATAAACAACTAATTGAATTACATTATTGCTACCTCATTGTGATGCTAAGCCTATCCCCCTCCCCATTAGTGTAGAAAACATCGTTTGTTAAAAAAAAAAAAGATCATTTGACAACTAATTGAATCATATTATTATGCGCGTAAGAATTTTTTGGAGAAATTTGGAAAACTAACCAGAATTTAGATCCTAAATAGAATTATAGTCATCATTATAAATTTATGATAATTATAATCAAATGTTAATATAAAAGTACTAATATACCCTTACAAAAGAAATTGAGAGATGAGCAAGGTTGAAAATAAATCCCGTAGAAATTACTTCAATTTTTTAACAACAATCGAAACCCAACAACAATTTCACAAAAAAATGATGAACAATACACAATTTTTTTGCTAAAACCTGCATTAGTCAAGCTTTGGAGATTTTGAGTTTTAGGATGAAAAGTAGGTCTGTTTGAGGGATAATTTCCTTCATTTGGGTGTTGTGTTGTGCTTTGATCTGCCGGACCGACGCATCAGTAAACGAATTTTGATGTTCCTAAAGTAAATCGGCTTAGTACTGTCACAGGCTTTTATTCATTTGTCAGATTGCTCTTCAACAAGTTGAGTTATGGATATTAAAACAAGAAAAGTTTCTGGTGCCCAAACATAGAGCACTCCCGACAAATGAAGTAGAGTATCATCGTCAGATTCAGAGACAAAGAAAGGCAACAGAATATCGGCGAACCCTATCTCACGGTAGAGGGAGTGGAAGAAGTCTATTGCAAGCCAGCTACTTTATCTTGAAGTCATTGCTTATTTACCTTTGCTTGTATGCCTCAACAACTTTGCTAATATTTTCCTTTGATACTTCCGCCATTGCCTTCCCACGTTTCATGTTGTTGTTGCATCCCATTGGCATTCTAGCCGTGCTTATGATCTTGGCTTTCAGGCCCTTTAATGTGAGGGATTTGACTTATACATACGCCTAACTATATAAACAATTTTTGTTTATCACACAAATCAAACCGAGAAAACCCTTGTGTTCATGGGTCAGTTTTTTTCTTTGGAAAAATTAAACGAACCCCGTAGGACATTGGGCTAATCTTAGATTTGATTTTGGTTTTTGGATTTGTTTTCAAACTCTCTTTCTTATCTCTCAATTTCTATTTTATGGGTATATTAGTATTTTTATATTAACATTTGGTTATAATTATTACAAACTTAAAAGAATGGCTATTATTCTATCAAAGTTTGGTTATTTTTCCAAATTGAATTTTTTTTTAATAATTAGCACTACTTGCCCCTTAAGTGTTTAAAAATAGAAAAAAAAATAATACAACTAAATGAATCACATTATTATGCGTGTGTGAAAGACCTTTTTTTATCACGGGTGGTACGCAGCTCTTAAGATGTTTTGAACGTGTTTAAAAATAAAGAAAATAATATTTAATAAACAACTGATTGAATCACATTATTACTAACCCAATGTGAGGCTAACCCCCTTTTCCTTAGTATAGATAATATCATTTGTTCGAAAAGGCAAAAAAAATCATTTGACAACTAATTGAATTACATTATTATGCATGTGCGAAATACCCTTTTTATAATCATTACTACACGCCTCTTAAGATATTTTGAATGTGTTTAAAAATGGAAAGAAAAAAAAATTTAATAAACAATTGATTGAGTCTATTATTGCTATCTCATTATGAGGCTAAGTCCACCCCCTTCCCTTTAGTGTAAATAATATCGTTTGTTCGGAAAAAAAAATTATTTGACAATTAATTGAATCACATTATTATGCGCGTGTGAAAGACCTTTTTTGTAACGGACACTACGCGCCTCTTAAGATGTTTTGAACATGTTTAAAATAGAGAAAATAATATTTAATAAACAACTGATTGAATTATAATATTCCTAGTCCATTGTAAGACTAAGCCCACCCCCTCCCCTTAGTGTAGATAATATTGTTTGTTTGAAAAAAAAAATTATTTAACAACTAATGGAATCACATTGTTATGCGCAAACGAAAGACTTTTTTTATAACCGACACTACGCACCTCTTAAGATGTTTTGAATATATTTAAAAATAGAGAAAATAATATTTAATAAACAGCTGATTGAATCACATTATTGCTAGTCTATTGTGAGTTACTAATTACCAAAACAAAATAAATAAATAAATTGTACAAAAAGAATTAATTATTAAAAAGATATTGTTTATAAGATGAAAATACCCCTGCATTATTTGATGCATTATTTTAGATTGCTTTTGAACTTTTTTGTTTGGGGGGGCATTTCTGTCCACTTATTTTTGTGGAAGCTTGTGACTCCAAAAACAATGTTCACATCAATGTTGGCTTTATATATAGATTGCTTATGGGGAGGGATCCCCATTTTTTCAAAAAAATGGGGACACGCTCCCCACCGTTAGATTGGTTTTAATGAAATTGTGTGGTTGAGATTAAAACACAAGCCACACAATCTCAACCACACAATTTCATTAAAGTTAAATCCAACGGTGGGGAGCATGTCCCCATTTTTTTGAAAAAATGGGGATCCCTCCCCTTAAGCAATCTGTATATATATATATATATATATATATATAGAGAGAGAGAGAGAGAGAGAGAGAGAGAGAGAGAGAGAGAGAGAGAGAGAGAGAGAGAGAGAGAGAGAGAGAGAGAGAGAGAGAGAGAGAGAGAGAGAGAGAGAGATGTGTATAATTTAGATAATTCGTTACATCCATGCGGTATGATATATGATTACATGAAATGTATTCTTTGACTAAATCAATGAGATCATTATTAAGCCTATGAATCTCATATCGAAAAAAAGGCAATGCATATGCATATAGAAATTTTGACTACTATTTATATTGTTAATTAGAAGTGAGATAATTTTTACATATATACTACTTTTAGTCTCTCACATAACCTCTTTTATTTTTAGTCGTCAGATTAAATAAACTAAAAGCAAATAACTCACAAGATTTAACAGAAGTATGTAAGAGGTTAAAAAGAGTGTATATTATCATTTCTCTTGATTTGACGGTATAACCTCACTTCTTCGTAGTTAAGAGTAATAATTAATTACAATGCCACAATTTTTCTGTAATGAATTTTCTAGGTGATGAATTTGAACTAGCCTAGTAATATAGAGATGAATACTATTAGACTGATTGTTTGTTTGTTTATTTATTTATTTTTACAACAATTTTAGTTTGGTTTGTACTTTATATGCGTTTGATTACTATAATATTTATATACTGGCATTTAGTGTTGAGGGACTTTTAGGTTGAGGTGGACTTAGGCTTTGAGAATATCCTCTTGTCTCCCTTGGTTTGGTTTTGTACCAAGTTCCGGAATATCTTGAAAGAATTATCATGTCTTAGGAAATATCCCAGTTGACTCGAAGATAACATGATTAAGCAAATAGTGGCTTGCTTAAGTGAGGCATAATGTGGAAGCTAGAAATTTATAAGTTTTGCATGAAAGAGAGAGAGAGAGCTTGGGCGATTGTATGGTGTTTTCTGTTGGATAATCTGAGCTTTCTAGGGTGGTAGCAAGGCTTACGATGGCTGGAATACTCAGAGAGAAGTTATGGAAAATACTCTGTTATGGGTTTCTTTTGGTTATCTGCATGAAGCTGGGGGATTAGAGAATCCTCTCTCTAAGGTTCTCGACCTATATTTGTAGTTGAATGATTCATTCTCAAAGAATCTCTAGTTAATGCATGTTTCTCCCTCCTCTTTCTCCTAGTTCCAAAGAATCCAAGTCCTAACTCTTGAGCTGTAAGCCAAACCAAGTTTTCTTGATGGTGATTCCTTTTACTTTTAACGCGTTAGTCAAGTTTATAATCCATTTTGTCCCGTCGTGGGAATCTTATCAGCCTTGCTTGAAAGGTTGAGCTTTAGTAGCTTTCTCCAATATTTTTTGGAGGGAAACATACAATCTAGAGAAGTCAAGAACATTCTAGTGTCTCATATATGGGAAGCTTTGCTCACAAGTCACAATAAATAATTATTTAGAGTAGA